CACTAAGATCTCACACTCAGCACAAGTCTACCCGTTTAACACACCGTCTCCTTGAAGCTGTCGGAGAGCCATCGGTTGCGCAGAACAGCCAGCACAGAAGAGGGGGGGTTCTCCAGATCCTCAAAAGCATCCATGAGGATGAAGTCCAGCACAATGTCAAAGAAACTCATGCACACCACCTGTCAAAGAGCAAAACAGTCTGTAAAGGAAACAGGTTTAAAAGAAGGAGATGGACTTTCTTTTTTTTTGCTTTGAAGCAACAAAACATAATGAGCTGAAGTCTGCCACCAAGACAGGAGCACTAAACTGTGTGCTCTCAATTCACAGCCCCCAGAAAGGGGCTGGCCAAGAGACTTATTAACCCTGTGTCCAGTCAAAAGGCAGACAAATCTTACAGACCTACAGACAGTAGCTTATGCCCTCTAGAAAAAGGTGGGGGGTTGAGTTTGTTGCCTTTTTGTTTTTTTTTACCACAGTAGTGCTAACATTGCTGAAGGGAAGAATTGCCATGATGTTTACACACCCCAACAGCCAGTTTTCCCCACACACTCCCTAACAATGTACAATTGCAAAATAATCATATTTCAGCAGCAGTTCTTTCACTCCTGAGCCATTCCTATTATTCATTATCCTCCAACTCCTCCACAACTTTCTAGAGAGAATGTCTTTACCAACCCCTCTTCCCTCCAGCTCCTGCTGAGTGGTCGGCCAGGTCTCTTGCTTCAGTGCATAATTCAGCATCTCCTCGTAGCTTTCCAGAAAAGCTTTGGGATTCTGGGAGAGCAGAGAAACAAAACACTTCAGAAGGTACAATAGTTGTGGGCACATTTCAAAGTTGGACTACTCTATTTCAAGCTAACATCAATGCATGCAACTGGCTGAAGGTTTTAGCCAAAACACTCTGTGCAGAAAGAGAGAATTTAATTCTGGGAGGCATGGATGGCCTCAGGTTCAGCTGTGACTGAAAGCACCTAATTTACTCCGCTTTCTTCAAGGAAGTAGCTAGAGACACCTGCAAGCAAACCAAGGCAGTAAGGGACTAACAATGTGCAAGTGACATCTCCCTGTTTAGGGAATGACCAGTGACTAAGTCAGTGATGTGAGAGCCGGTATGTGGTTGATGCAAAGGCTTGATTCTCTTTTCCCTTTCCTATATTCCTTGAGATGATGCCATCACTGATGCACAGCCTGTACGCCCTGTTCACTCCAGTGAGGTACAGTATCAAACTGCAGACAGGAGCTGCAGACAGGAGCTGCCCAGAGAGGTTCTTTCAAGATAATTTGGTTAAACAACATTTAAAGCACAGGCCTTTTCTTTCTTGCAATAGTCACCAGTATAGAGATGAAGTTTTCTATTTCCAAAACACTAGAAAAACTCTGGGTTGGGATGGAGGGACAAGTGTCCCTGTGCTCACAGGACACAGCTGAGTTGTCATACAAACTTCCTACCTTTTCAGCTTTTGTCATCAGTCCTATGACCATTTGCTTCCCAACCTCCCCAAAAAACAGTTGATTGCTTTCATCTTCCAGCAGCTCCTGCAAAGGGAACACAAGAAGTCTCCTCTGAACACCTACACCCACATGAATTCTGAAATTCTGGGAGAAAAAAAGGGACAGGGCAAAGCAGTGCAATGCTGCATACACTGATATCATTAACCTTTAATAAGCTGGAGTCTAGAAAACAAAACTGCTCTCTCCAGGAAGCAAGTTTAAAATTGGGCTGAAAGACTGGAAGCAGCAAGAATGGAGGCATGGGAGCCACAGAGTGGCAGTGGGGCCAGGGCACAAAGGCTGCTGTTCAGGCTCTAGACATACATTGCTAGGATGTGGACCACAATAAGAACGAAACCTTGCTCCTGCACTTCAGAGGTTTAACTCCAGCCCAGTGAAATGCTCTTAAGTGGGAGTAGCAGTTCCTGGACAGCTCTGAAATTACCAAACTTTCACCTCCTAGAACTAAACCAGTGTCTGTAGCCATGTAACCACCACTCAAGCTGGGCATAGGAAACAGGGGATCCTCTCCCTGTCCAAATCAAATCAGTCAGGACAGGATTACAGAGTTAAGCAAGAGGAGCTTGGGCTGCTGCTGCTGCTGCTTCTTTACTTGCTCTAGAGAGGCAAAGACTTAACCCCTGGGCTGGCAGAGGAGAATGTGCTGCCAGCAGCAACATGCTGCAGGAACCCCAGAGCCTCGAGCTGTTCTCACCTGGAAGGCCTGCCTGACACAATGCAGCTTCGCGAGGAAATCCTGGTCACTGTAGCAGCCAAGGAGCTCTGTCCTAGAGAGAAAGGCGGAGGACTACATAAATTTCAGCTCTCCTGATGTCTGTGTTCCTAACAACTATGCTCCCCTAAAAAAAAAAAAAAAAATTCCCAGTCTGGGTCTAGGAGAAAGTAGGGAGGACTACATAAATTTCAGCTCTTCTGATGTCTGTGTTCCTAACAACTGTGCTCCCCTAAAAAAAAATAAAAATTCCCAGTCTGGGTCTAGGAGAAAGTAACAACTGCATTCCCTTTGCACAGCTCCCTGGGGGACCACAGCACCTCTGCAAAGGCTGTTGCAGCACAGGACTATGCCAGCCAGCCACACAAAACAGGCATTTCTCATTATTTTCTGAGGCAATTACCCTTTCTTAACATGTGTCCTAAAATCTGGGGCTAGTTCCCTGGGAAGTCCAAACCAGAAAATGCTAAGAGTTTCCATCCCCAGAGGGTTATTCTGGTTATAGGGCTGCTCAAAGGCAAATAGTGTGTTCACACTGCTCAAAGGAGCCTTGACACAAGCACCCACAGCTCCAGCTGGCACTTCACCTCAGCGTCCGGCATGCAACCTTCCCTTCTTTCACTAACTGCAGAGCTTCTTCATATGCCGCTACTGGCTTAGAGAGGTGGAATGGCATTTCCTCAAAGTGGAGAGAGTCAAAGAGCTGTAGAGGTGGCAAGAGGCATGGGAAGAGCAAAATGATCTTGTTAAATATTTGCAAATACTCAGAGACTGCACACAACAAGCACCACGTGCCTTCCCCAGCTGGCGCACTTTTGTCGGCACCAATTACTTCATGCAAAGATATTTCTTTTCCCACCAGTTTCAAAGCTGTCTCAGCTCTGACACAGCTCAATATCCCCCAAAATTTACAGAACCAAGCCATGTTACATTAGATTTACAGTACTTCTGTAGCTGTTATGGCATGTTTTCTACAGTAGACAGGAAGATGATATGGAAATGTTGGTTGGAAAGGGCTGCACCACAGCCCTAATGAAAAAAGCTTTTCCTAACATCCATCATGAGCCTCTCAGCTCAGGGTGGTTACTCCATGTTTTATCATCTTCCTCTACCAGGAGGTTCCGCTGCCTTTGTGGCTCCCCTCCAAGCAGCTGGACCACTACACACAGCTGAAACTTAAGTCACCTCTGCTGCAGAGAAGAAAGAGTCCTCGGAAGTGGAGCTGTCTTCATCATCCGTCCGAAGCCGCAATGACCCATCCGTCAACGGAAGCATTAAAGTCTTCTCTGGAGGAGAGGAAGAAGCCACATGTGTTGGAGTTTGTGGACTACAATTCCTCTCAGTTCCTGTGCTCTCTTTCCCACCCCCACAAACAGCATTTTGTCACTACTTCATTGCCTAGCTTACAGAAAACACATAAAATCAGAAGCTGGCGTTTTAATGCATTTCTACCCCAGCTCCCATACCCAGATCCAGCAGCATGCTGTCTGATGGAAACGAAGTCCCAAACTCTTCCTGGAGGTGGTAGGCTCGGTGCAAGAGGGACTCCAGCTTCTCAGCAAACTCCCTTTTCTGAGACTCCTCCTTGAACATAGATAAATGCCACTCTTAGTTAGCCAGCTGAGCAGAGACAGATTGACAGCACAAATATGGAAGGAAATTTTCAGTAAAATGGGATTTACAGTTTGCAGATTAAATGATTTAAAAGAAAAATCCTACAATGCAGCTAATAATGTAAGGGCAGGGAAGCTTCTATACAGCCTATTCAAACCCTTTGGCTTTTTAGCTTTTGTTTTCCTGTTAAAAAAGATAGAAAGAAATTAGGAACTTTAACCTGCTATCCAGAAAAAGAGCTATTTTAATGAGTTAAAGCTCTCTTAATTCTCCTGACTTGTGACTTTAGCCTAATTTCAAGAGGGAACCACATGAGAAAATCTGTGTTGAATACAACACAGCATCCAGAACTGGATAACAGAGTAAGAGTCCTTGGATTACAGTGCTGGGCATAAGCAAAGTTTGGTGTAAGCACAGGAAGACAGAAAAAAAAAAATGAGGGAGAAAAATAGGACTTACACAGCGTCTTGCCTTCATGCCCCTGTGTCTGCATGAGTGTCTCACCCAGAAGACAGAAGCATTAACAAGAAGCACAAAATCTATTTTGATAATGAACCAACTGGTTTTAAGTCAGTTGTAGAAATACTACAGGACTCTTCAAGGAGAGACAAGAGAATACAGGTTTGACCTGGATTAAAATTATCCACCACAAAAGACAAACATCCCACATACTCACTACACCAGTCCCTGTTTATAAGAGGCTGTGAATGTTTTGCCAGCAAAAGCTCCTGAAAATCAGAGAGTTCAGCTCCTTTCACTGTCCTGAGCTACAGCTGCTCTTTTCAGCTTTGTGATTGTCACTGAGCTGCTCTAGTTTGAATCTCCTCCTATCAGAGGTCTTTCCTGCATAGTTCTTAGGTCCAAGACAACAAGGTTTTGTCCCAGAATACCTGCTTGTTCTGTGGGCAAGAGTTACACATCTCCCTGCCCCACTTGCTCAGTGAGCAGGGGCATACTTAGCTCCTACTGAGTTACCCCTGCACTTTACTCATTGATACCTGGAGGCAGCTGGGCTCTGCTGCTCCACCCAGCTTCCTAACTCATCACAGTGACCATCAAGATTTCCATTTTCAAATGTGTTAAAAAGTTAGACACAACACTGCCAGGCAAGAAGCTATTTCTTCTTCTCCAGTGCTGTATGTGTTACAGCCTTCTCCTACCACAGCCTCTGCTGCTGGAGGACTTGTGTGACAGTGACTGACACGATGCTGCGAGGTGGGTAGAAAAGCTGGGGAATGAGGGGGCGAGACTTATTAAAAAGAAAAAGAAATTAAAAACACCCACTTGCATTGCATAAGGAAGCCACAGATATAGACAGCTCTTAAACAGAGTCTGGCCCAACTCTGCCCTTAATTTGCTCTTCTTTTAACCTAATTACTGCTTCCAGCAATCAGACTGGTCTTTCAGCATGTTCCCCAGCTGGCAAATGCAAGGCAAAGTGGGGACCTACCTCTGGGATGTTCTCAGACATGCTCTCTTGCTGTTTCTTGCTGTCCCAGGGCACGGGGGTGCTGGTACTGGCACTGTCCCTCTGCCTGATGGTCAGTGCTTGCTCCCACTTCTGCAGGGCCTCCTCAAATAGCTCCATACCTGGCGATGCAAATACAAGCTGTGAGAGTCCCAGGCCACTTAGGAACAAAGCAACACAGGACAAACCTTTGCTCAGACAATACAGCAAAGAGGGAAGCCTCTCTCCAACTGATAAGAAAGAATAAATGTATTTTATTTCTTTCCCTTTTAAATATGGTTTAATTTGGATTAGAAATTAAGAAGAACCTCTCCAAACTGGTTAACGCATCAGCCATGTTACTTCCAAAATACTGTTCTCCACACAAGGTGAGCCTGTTGCTCACAGAACAGTGTTTTGAAAGTGAATTATTCACTAAGAAAATGGAGAAATATTTCTTTAGAAGATGGGATTTTTATAACTAACAAGCAACTGTGTTCAAGTCAAGAATGGGAGAGAACTTCCTATTAGAGCTCTACACTGAGCTGCTGATACTCTGTCAATTTGCACCCTCTTTTTGCTCTCTCAGTGATAAATACCCCCCCTCCCCGGGGCAATGTTACCCTTGTGCTTGTTTACCTTGAAAGTAGAGGCTTTCTGCACTGGAATCACCAATGCCTCCAGCATCCCCCATTGCCTGAGCCTCCCACAGGTGTTGGACTCGAAGAGTTGACTGCTACCATCTGTAGGAAAGCAGCAGAGAGCAGCAAATGCCTTTTGCATTCTCTCCAAAGGTAGCAGTGTTGAGATCACACAAACACCACGAGTTAAATCTGAACAGTAAGTCATTTCCCTTCCCTGCATTTGCCCTTATGCTCCCCCTTGCCCGAGAAGGTGAAGGTACCAAGAGTTACCAGCCCCCTCCCACTTGGGTTTCCACTACACTGTCAACTGTTGAAAGCCACATGGTGCTGAGAGGAGAGGTGAGAAGTCCTCCCCTCTCCACCCAGCACCATAGTGGTGTCTTTGAAAGCATGGAAATTTGTGTGGGAAGTACTTGCCCAGCCATTTTACACTGAAGCTTCATTAGGAAACGGCAAGCTGTACAACAGTGAGCACTAGCAGGAGAGCACTGATGGAGGTGACAGCCTGAGAAAGCTCCAAAGCAATCGCTACAAAGGCGCAATGATTTTGATAAAACGTTGATGTCAGCCCCAGCTGCCTGTGCAAAAAACCAACACTGGAAGTGAGGGGAAGCGACCACAGTCCAAAGGAAGAGATTACCAGCAAAAACACAGCTGAGGACTTTGGCCAGGGGGATCCCCGCTCTTCTCTTTGTAACCAAATCTTCTCCAGGGAGGGCTGAGCACTAAGATCCACACAGCAGATTGACAGCTTTCTCCAATTTCACACTAGTGCATAAATGTCTTTTAAATTCTGACCCAGTAAAGTGCTGGGTTCAAACACTACCAACAACCAGTGTTTTCATATCGCTTGGAGAAAAATGTCCAAATGTGAGCCTGATGCTAGGAAAAAAAGCCTCAATAATCATCTGACAGATGAGTTCTTGCCCTGGCTCCATAGACTGGTATCTGTGGAGTGTTAAAAAGTCACCTTGAGATCCAAAACTACAAATCATCAGTTCAATGCTGCTGACTTATTTACTACATGGCAAAGAAGAGCCCCAGGAAGCAGATGAGAGAGCAGGCAGAAACTGCAGCTGTGCAAACAATGAGCAGTTCTCCCATCAAGTAACATAAAAGCAGCAGGTACAGTGTCACAGATGCTCAGCACCCACACAGCGAAGGGGGTACAGGAACAGATCTCTCTCCATGTGGACCTCCACCCATGCACCAGCAGTGGAAAAAGAAATTTATAGTTTTTTTAGCTAAAGAGAAACCAACTTCAGCAATACAAAACCCAGACATCTGTGGGAAGGGAGAAACCACGGGGGAAATAAATGGACATAAGAGGGGGCAGAGAGGTCAGAGCTGGACACAGCTTGGTCCACACTGACACGTCCCATCACATCCCAGTTACCCCAGGGGAATACTGGTGCAGGGCTGCAGGCCCAGCACTGTGCCGGCACTGCCGCCTGCTGGAGACACACCTTGGCCAGCACAGATTTTTGGCAACTTTCTGGTGCTTTAACAGTACAGGATAAGCTAAAATACGGTAATGCCTGCACATACTCTAGGGCACTGCTGGCCAACAGCACCCTTCGACAGGGGAGTTTTTCCTCCTCCCTGCCCTAGCATTGCTAACCAGCCACCAAGCCCAGATGGGTGACGCTGAGGGGGTGTTTTGCAGTAAGCTGCAGTGCACGAAGCTGCAGAGTTTCTCTTGTGCCACCCACTGCTTCAACAGCAGCATGCAAGGCTTTGAACAATGGGGATGTAAAACAGGTCTGGAAGCCACAAACGCTCTCCAGTGCTTCTGTGTTTGGTCGCACAAGAGGTGGATACAAGCAGTGGTGGCTTCTCCTTCCTGGTCAAGCCTGAATTACCTGTACTTATAGGCTGCTTTGGGCTTCAGAGGAGGTCAAACAACTAGGCTGTGTTCTCAACCTGCACTGTTTCCCAATTGGAGCTATCCAATTTTGGTAGTTACCCTGGTTTTATCAACCAAGCAACCTGTGAGCAGCACCAGCTCATGAGGGCTGTGCTGGCACAGGGGCTGCTGGGCCACCCAAACCTGCACCAGAGCAGGAAGCAAACAAGCTCCTCATTGCTACAACACCCAGCAACAACCCAGCCTTACTCCTTGTGGGGGGGTCACAAATAGCCCCAAGGAATCACAGCCATGTCCCACACACAAGTTCTCTCACAGGAAAATGCTGCTTTGATTTCATGCAGGCAACTCCAGACAGTCACTGCAAGGTTAATATCAGAACCCGCCCTACAATTACATCGTAACCTGTTCTGCTCTAAAACCTCTGACACTACCAACAGGCCAGCACAAGGACTTGGTGATCTTGTTACAGGCAGGTACACTCATATCTGCCAGCCCTGCTTCTCCCAGCCCAGTTGAGGAAGTCCTTACCGAGGCGAGGCTGTGGGATGAACTGGAATGTTTGCTGGGTTCGATGGAGGAAATCCCGCTGAGCGTGTCATTGCTCTTGCTGCCAGGACTCTGGACTCTCTTGCTGGAGTATCCTGCAGTTGGGAAGGTCACACAAAAACAGGATTTTAGGCCCAGTTCACTGCAGCAGTGTATACAAAGGGGAACTGTCAAGTGTGACTGCAGACGGGGAAAGCAGCATCCAACACCTAGAAATGAGTCATAGATCTCTGAGATTTTGTTCTGAGACACTAAGAAAGCTGGGAATCTGAGACTTATAAATGAATATTTATTCACCATTTATGGATGGCAGGAGGTAAGCGCAAGTGGAGAGCATCAACAAGAAACTCCTCCAGCTTCCCTCAGGCCAGGCAGAGCATGGGCATCACTCCCTTGGTTACTAGTAAAAACACTTAAAGATTTTCATACGCTTCACAAAATAAATGCTTAATCCCTAAAGCACTTTGCTGAGGACCTGGGTCAGTCTTACCCCAGAAATCAATACAGTCAGGTGAAGAAGCTGCCCAAGGTCCAGGAGCCACTGCAGAATTGGATGGGCACTCCTGACTCCTCAGTCTGGCCCAGGCCACTCTCCCCTCCACCATCCAACCTCACCGATGCAGCTGCGTGCGGGACCCCTGGGTCAGACATCACATTGGCATCACCAAGATCAATACACAACCAGGTCACCATGTGCCCCAGGCCAGTATTATCAGGGGAAGCGCGGCGTAATGGGTCAGCAGTCTTTCTGCAGGAAGGGGGATGGGAACTGCAAACCTTGGTGAAAACCTCAGTGTCGCTTTTTTCTCACAAGGGGTGTGAGCTCGGGGTCTCTCCCTTTCCTCTGCTAACCCTGTGTTCATGGCATTGTACTTCAGGCTTCTGATTTCATTCTGTATTGATGCGCTCCACAAATGGCTTTGCTTTCCTCTCCTCCAGCTTTCAGGAACTTCCCATTGCTCCCTGCACACCCTCTTTGCTCCCTCACAAAAGGCTTTTTGGGCATTTTCCCTTTTTTGTAAGGCAAACCTTTCTTCACAGAGGAGACCCTTCTGCTTGGCAAGATGGGCACTGTGATCCCTCCAGGCTTAAAGCCACACTTCTCTGGAGCAATCTGCTTCTTTCGACGACGACGACGCTTCAGCTGATGAGCTGCAAGAGCCAACGCAACTGTCCCGAGAGCTGTAGCAAACAGCACCTTACGCAGGCCTGGAGAGAGCCGCAGCTGAGAGAAGACAGACTTTAAACACAAAAGATATGAAAGAGCAACAATGAAAAACCAATTCCACCACCCTTCAATTTTATTTTATTTTTTAAAGTAGTCTTAACCATAAGACGCCTTGGCATTCCCTCTCCCACCACAGGACACAGCCCCTGCCACACAACTAAAACTTAGCAGCAGAGAAACTATGGAGCATCGTTTTGACAGAACCTGGAGAACTTGGTCTCAAACTTCATTACCAAAACAGACTGCAAAATTTGTGCACAGCCTGTAACAGATGCAATCTAAGTTACCCAAATTTGGCTCTGAAAGCCTGGTATGTAGCTAAGCTTTATTGCCCCAGGTGTTGCATTACTACAAGTGGGAAATATATTACTCTTCTTTAAAACCAAAGTCTTTTTTTAGCACCCTTGACAAAGAGAAAGGTTGAACCCAGGGAGAACCCTTCTCTCCCTTCTCCAAGCCCACCCTGAGCAGCTCTGTCCCACCACCCCAAACTCCTCATGCAATTCTTACAAACCCTCAAACTGCCCAGGTCCCTCAGCATCAACCCGTGATGTTTCTGTCCCTCACAACTTACACAGACAGCCCCCAGAGAGAAAAAACTAAGGAACCCAACAGAAAAGCCTTCCCTGTACCTGCCCAAATGTTGTGTAAACAAACACGGGGATCTCTGCCACTGTCATTGCCAAGGCCTGGATGATGGACATTCCCTCTGTCCTCCTAAATGCCATGTCGGCACAAGGATCTCAGCACCTCCAGGAGCCACAAAGGGGAAGAGCACTTGTGGATGCTGTGTAAGCTGCTCACAAAGAAATCTAACTTTTCTCTGACATCTGGCTCAGAGTCCTGGGGTTGCCCTTCATCCAGCAATCCTCATCCTGCAGGAAAAGGAGAAAAATCAGGTGAGTGAAGGGAACACACAATCTGTGCCTCCTGTACTGCACTTCACAAACTGCAGACCAGGTCACTTGAAGCAGCAATGCTACTAGAGCCGAGCAGGAGATCCAAAGCCTATTCTCACCAAGAGCAGCAATTTTTTTGCTTGCCCTATTAACCACAGGGGTAGATGCCCAAACTGCTCTACAGCAGCAGCATCCTCAGACTCAATAGCTACCAGAGATTTCCACATGCACCAGAACTGGTTGTATGTGGTCAGAGAGATTTTGTTTGCAGTTCCCATATATGTAAAAAATATATTACAAACAACTATATGTACACGTTCACTGACAAAACTCTGATTTCATATAGTTTTCTCTGCATCAAAAACCAACCAAAGGGTACCTGACCAGGTTTCAATGCTGCTTGAGTTTATGCAGAGCTTTGCTAGGAGCTGGGGAGGAGGGACGTGCTTCATGTCAAGGACAGAGCTACAGAAGAAGGTACTGAAGCCAGCGGGGGGCAGTCATCTTTTAAACACCACAAAGTTATAAATTCTGTTGACCCACTCCATGCCAGGGCAGCCTTTGCAGCAAGCTGCTGCAGCAAGGAGATGCTGCTCTGCTCCAGCCACCCCAGTGACTGGCATCTCCCCACACCGAAATGCTAAACCCACCCTGGGTGTCACAGCCGTGTGACAACTCCCCATTGCTGCTTGAATCCACGGCTGACAGCAACCGCACAGCCCATGGTCCATAGGTTGGTATGACCCTGCCTGGAAGACATATTTGGAAACACCGCAAGGTGGTGGGAGCCCACAGGAACCGGATACGGGCGATAAGCTCTCTCCACAAGGTTAAAGGCAAAGTTTTGGCCAGAGCAGAGATGAGGAGAGCAAAGTGCAAGAAATTCTGGGCGCAGAAAACAAATCTGGGGGACACGCAGCAAGGTACCACGGAAACGCCTCTGTCTGGGGCATCTCCCCGCAGCAGGCTACCATGGCGGGGCAGTGGGGCACCCTCAGGGGGAGTGTTAAACCCACCGCCCAGGCAGGCCTCGGGTAAGGAGCTCCCCTCGGGACACCCCGCACCAACACTGCAGCAACCTGGGGCCCTGCAAATGGGGCTCCCCAGACCCCCTACACTCTTGAGTACCCCCACACCCCTACACCCTGGAGCCCTCAGGCGCCTCGTGCCCCTAGAGCACCACCCAGACCCCCTGCACTCATGCGCCCGGGGGCACTTCCCGCACCCTCTACACCCCAGTGCGCTCCTCCGATGCTCCAGGCC